ATCCGGCTATCTGTGAAGGGTCGAGTGTATGGTGCAGCAGTTCGGCCAGTCCTGCTCTACGGTGCAGAGGCTTGACCTTTACCGGAACAGGATAAGAATAGATTATCGGTGTTCGAACACCGCTATCTACGTCGCATTGCACGAGTCTAGTGGGATGGCCGGATGAGTAATGCTGAGGTTAGGCGTAGAGTTTTAGGCATTCGCGGCCGTCCAGTGGAGCCAGTGATCGCCCTGCATAGATTACGTTGGTTGGGGCATGTGTTGCGCATGTCACCAGAGGTTGCCGCGGCGAGTGATGTTTGCCAAGGCTGGTAGCGATTGGAAAAAGATCAAGGGTGGTCAAACTAAGACCTGGTATGAGGGTATGAAAACCCCAACCAGGAGACTAGGTCACATAGGTCCCGTTGGATTCCCTGGGTGGGGACCTCGGGATGATGGTCACCAATGGTTAGAGACACTGAGTGATATGGCTAGGTGTCGCAAACAGTGGCGCTAGTGCATTTACTCATTAATCCCCTGTCACTATTCTATATGAATTCTCCATCTTCCGCTTGAATTTGCTTTCAACATTCCAATTTGCATTCTGCTGCTTTATCCAAATGGGGCACCAAAAGACAGCAACCAAAACCGGCGCCTGAAAGTGTATGGCTAATAGTTGTAGAAGCTGAAACTGAACTGATAGGAGATCATTAAACATACGCAAAACGTATCCTAACCAGAGGAATCTGTTGAGCTGAATTTGATGCGAAAACAAATCATTCCTTGATACATTCTCAATCAAATCTAGATTACTAACACGCTCACTTCATTCTACGTGAACCAAAATACGTAAGCATCGATTGTCGAAAGTCTCCAAACGATGAACGTCTTCAAACAGCTAATAGAAGATCTAACAACCGTAAGGCAGAACTGATCGAACGGTGACAGTAAATGCGATTTTTCAACTCCAGTGAAAGATTACGTCGTCGCCACATGTGCTTTGGTCTTGTGCACGCTGCTCGAACCTTTGAACTGTGAATAATTACCACTTTTATTGTGCTACCGTCGTTGGTTACTCGACTACTCAAGTACGAGAAGCAGTTAATTTCAGCTAATTCCTGACCATCCAGTTTTGGAACAGGACTAGTCGATACCAGTCATGCAGCATCACTTTGCAATTTGAAGGTGTAAAGCGAATAACGAACGGGGCAACAGACCTTGATAGCCTTTTCCAGTACGCTTTGTGCGTCCTCCGAAAGTTCGAACAAGTAATCGGTGTTGTCAGCGTATTCCACAGTTTTTCTCCAATTGTCCAGTCAATACCAACATTTGGAGACCACTAAAAGTGCTCTCTAGTATTCCTCGTACGACAAAATTGAACGGGTACGGTGAAACAGGGCTACCTTTACTTCAACTTTGATGCGCCTCACTCTGGGGAAAACATGAGTTGGTGCTATGGATGGCTTCGGTGGCACAGATGATCAAAGGCAAAGTCCGAGCACAAAGAAACCCAAATCTGCTAACAGAGGCGAGCCCCTTAAATTGTCTGTAGACCAAATCGATGGACAGCAAACTCGATAGTATTGATCTGCGTTTTCAATATTTTTTTCAAGTTAGCAGCGAGAAATTGAGTGTAGAACAGGCGAGAAGTAGTATTTCAAACATTGTGTCTGGCAATCGAAGGACGTGTCGAAACCATCGCAGTTGTCGGTGTCAAAGGAATATGGACAGGTTTCGGATGTTAACACAGTGTTGTCTTTCGACATTATGTCACCCCAGGCCACTCAGAGAATCCGTCGAAGATACCGAAGGTCAAAAGCTTCTGACTTTTTTCACATCCTTGACACATGGTGACCATAGGTCAGTATCGGGCAAACGGTGGCTTGTAAGACTTTGTATCTGGTTCAGAGACTGATTCAGCTGAGCGCTGAGACTGCAGCTGTAGAAACGCTCTCCTGGTGTTGAACATGCGTAATTTGGCAGATTCTTTTTTACTCTGTTCGTACAAGAGAATAGTGGATATTATATATTCAAAGGAATGAATGCAGTCTATCGGTTCACCCACCATGTTTTGAAGGTTTATACTGTGAAGCGCAATACGAAAAGATATTGATGTTTGATACAGTGATCCCCAGCCCTGTAGTATTCGCGAAAAGTGTACCATGATTCACAATTGACTGTGGAATAGCTCGGCTGTCTCGTAGGATGGCTATGTCGTCTGCCAATGATTAATCGATTGGGAAAATTTCGGAGCACAGTTTGTCATTAAAGTGGTCGGTAAATGCCTGGCGCATTACCCAGTTGATAGTTTAATTAACCAGCACTGGTGATAGGAGTGAATTCTGTCAAATGCCAGAGCTCAGCAAAGAGTCGCTGTATTCTTCTCTGTATACGCGTATTCTTGCGCGCGTAGTTGAGTAGTAAAATCTTATGAAACTGACAAGCTTTTCAGACATGCCATCTGCGCAAAGAACGGGTGGCAAAATCTCCGCCAACCGAAACGAAGGTAGATTTTAGATCAACAAAACAGCCACAATCGGTTTTCGGAACTTTTACCAGTTTTACTACTCAGCGAAGATTAAATTGTTGGCCTCCACGACTACAGTCGTGGCGAAAACCTCCTTGATTAGGGCAAATGCACGCGTTTCCCTCCGACAAGAAAAGGTTTAATAAGAGAACGGACTATATTTTTGCAGTCACATTGATCATGCTGTTCCACGGTAGATTTCGCATACCGTTCTGGCGCTTTTCTTTGTAAGTTCCCTGGCTGTTGTGAAATGCTTGCTTTCCCAGAATGTGGAAAACGGGATATGGCGGGTCTCCAGTAATGCTGAAAGACTTGATTTATGTACCGCTGGTGGGATAACACCTAATCCCAGGGTCTTCCAATTCTCCAGGTTATTAATTAGCTTGGACGTTTAACCATGGCCGAAGGGAGTATGACTCGACGAATTGGACGCCGATCCTCAATGGATTTCGGTTTACACACACCGCTTCGCTATCTTATGGTTCAGACTTCCGCTGGCCCAAGGGTAAGGTTGTTATGTCCTCGCGAAAACTAACCTGTTTTGGCTGGGGAAACCTGATAGCAGTATCTCTCACCACTATATCATTGAAACCACTTGCTGCTTTGTCGAGGATCCAAGTGCAGCTAGGCTGAACCGTTTTGGAGTTCTGTTGCTGCTTCACTTGGCCTGCTCAGACAAGGGTGTGATCAATGCCGCCTTTGCAGATGTGTATAAGCACTGTATAGCAGAAATCGCAATTTGATGGTGTCGCCAATTTAATTTTGAAAGCTCAAACATTAACGGTAGACGGTTTGAATTCCTACATTAAGGAAATACGTATACACATATATATGCACGCAGAGCAGTACAAATATACAGTACCTACCTCACCAATGATGTCGTTGAACATATCGCCAGCCATTTTGTGTACTTCATGATTTGAGCTGTTGTACATACGTGCGTTGACAAACATGAGCATCAGATCGCGAATAAATCCGGTGGCCGCATCGATGAGAATCTGTTTAGGTGAAGCAGAAGTTATGGACCCCGTAGAACCACTTGTTATACTGGCTAGTGCCGCCTCCAAACGTTTTCGTAATGAGGTCAAATCAACCGGCTCGTATACAACAGAACTGTATCCTGGAGCGATATCCTCAGTCACTGGGTGCATGAACACGTAGGCGTGACGGTGGCTGCACAAGGTAGACAAAGCGGACAAGAGACCTCGACGCCAACGACGCGCTAGTGTGACGACCGAGTGAGCAGAACTCGTAGTACCATCCTCGGCCGTGCCGCCTTCGGAAACCAGTGGGCTGAGAGCTGAATAAAAGGACAGAGAAGCGTTTTGTGCAATCAACACATCAATACGATGAACAATATGCGGCTGACAAGCATTTCCGAGCACAGAAATGGTTGTACACCAAACATCCACTTTCAGTGCTCTTTAAGTTAGATTTCACCCTCAGTTCAAAACAGACCATTGTTGGAAATGAATTTTCTTCGAAATTAGATCAATCTACAAGAGGATTGGTGACTTGGTGAAATCACAAAACTAAAATAAACTCTGAAATATTTGGGACGGGGGTCGTGGATCACGACGACAAGTGATGCCAAGCATAAAGGCCGTTTTTTAAGTAAACCACATATATGAACGAATGGATACCAGCGGAACACTGCCACTTCACAATCACTGACGATGTCACCTCGGATGGTGGTGAAACATATGCAAACAAATTGCCAAGCTCGATGAACAGGTGAAATGGAACACTGCTACACGTCAGACAAACAGAGCAACCAACAAACCAGCTTTCCGTGATTTATTTCACGACTGACATATCACAGCTGATGTTATCATGTTTTAAAGAGTATAGTCACCAAAAGACGATTAAAAGAGAACGTATTTTTCGCTACTTTTGCTCTAGTAATCCATGTATTGCTAAATGAGATTGTCAAACACTTCCATTAACCCACAACAGGTGTAAGACGAGTGTTATTTTGATTAATTAGTCCCCAGATTTCGCGTTTACGCATAATCCTCGGTTCATCCAGTCAACCATAAACTCTGGAGGAGCCATAATTCAATTTTGATTTCCGCATATCCGCATATCCCAGACCCTCAGGGCTTGGAACTGCGGACTCCTAACATGGAATAATATACATAACCAACCTCCTGCTAAGTCGCATTTTCCAAAATGTTCTCATATTTTGGCAAACCCAAAATAACCGTACACGCAATAGAGTATGTCGTGCAGTGTCCCTCCGCTCAGTATGCATGTATGTCTCACTTAATTGTTTACTAATGTATGGTTCGGTCACTAACCGACCAACCAATATCCAAATTTGGGTTCAACCGATGAAGTTTCATCGAGTGGCATTGATTGCTAAGTGGATAAATATTGAGGCTCGCACACAGATGTCAGTAAATCGATGCCTTGTCACTTTAAGTAGTAATTGGTAAGCGTCTATCTAGCAGAGAAGGGGAAGGTGTTCGACAGCCTAGATCACCTTGATGTGACTCAAAAACCTGCAGCAAAAATCACTTTTTATTCCCAGAAGTGCTGTTTATAATGACATTAAATCGAACGATGCTCTGAGGTCAATATCGGTGCATCTCAAAGAATACTCCACATCAAAATCAAAGATAAATGTTCGAGGCATGGGAAGAAGTGTATTTTTCATGGGTTCCCGCTATAGACTAAAAATCAAGATGAATTACCGCGGTGGAGAACGCTGTTTATAAAAAAAGATTATCGAACTATCACAACACATCATGATGACTTCAGGGCTTCCAAAGATTGGTTTTACTCTTGGTCAGACAGGTCTGATATTCCGATTCCACGGAATAAATTACCAGTAACGCCTAACGGGTGTACTCTTTTCGGTTTGCGGTACCTGTACCACGTGATGCAACGGACGAATTTCGAACGGGGTTACTGGATTTGCTCAACAGATAACAGCCTATATGCTGGTGGCGACATTTTCAATAATGATGGAGCAGCCTCGTATTGTAAGCAACCATTTCAACTTTGTTATGTCCCTTCAGCAGGGACAGAACCGGAGGCTTAACAGGTGAAATCCGACACCACTACCGATATGACCACTGGTCAGCTGATTGGACAGTTCTACTTTCGTATATACACGACGCCTAGCTCATATAACACTAGCCTTTGGGGTTATAACTTGGTCGAAAGTAATCCGCACCTGATTACCTGTTACAAATGGTTTACCCAGTTTTTCTGCAAACTCGTGAACTGTTCAGTTTGAGTGTCAAGTCGGGCATTTTTGACAATGTGGCCACATAAGAAATGGCCATATTTGCTGCAATCAGATTAGTCACACTGGTCAATAAGCTCAATCGCAAGGACGCGTCTGTGCAAATGGATGCGGGGTGGCATATCACATCAATCCGCAGACAAGCTCTGTGCTTCGAAATATGTGACATGTGACCCGAGCGGATGGATTGTGATGATTCAGGTCTATTCGAGCAAAAAGACAATGAGTTGACTTGATTTTTGTTTCCTTTTTTTATCACACGCTTTTTTATGCGATGCAAAGCGGCTGGAAGAAACCCCATAGTCACGAGGATTGACTGTTCAGTCATCGAAACCGGCATCCTAAACCCTAGGACTTGGAATGGTGAACCATATGAGGAGAAGCGTGGTATTGGACCGAACGAGTGGAGCCGCTCACCACCAAATAGGAAATATTTAACAGTAAGTATAACTCGCTCAACAATTACCTCAAGAAGCGGCGTTCGACGACCCTGGGCTACTATGATTCAATTTATTGCATCGCGAAAAAATAACCACAGTGGACAAAAGTGCCCCATTTGTGCCACCAATCTGTGGTGTGATGTGGTGAAACTGGAACACTGAACATGACTGGTGAAACAAAAAATTCAAATTCGTTTGCTTCTCGTTTCTGAACGAAAACCTTTTCCAATAGATTAATCAACCGGTTAAATGTCCCGTAGCAACCGGTTGCGGCAATATTTTACACAAAAACCGGATAAGTAGGTTCGAAAAATCGCAACAGTTAAAATAATTTCGAAACAAATGAACACTTCCCACTGAAAAAGATTAAGCTACCGATTTCACACTACATCATTGTTAGGTTGAATGCATCCTAAAAGATTTCAATACAAGAGGGCTACGTAAGACTACATATTTTGAATTTCGCCTCAACTATATAATGGCTTATTAGACAAAATGCAACGACGAAAAGGTTGCTGTTGGTGATTCACCTGCTCAGTTTGACTGAACAAGCGTCCATGGATGGACCCGGGTGCTTGTGTTCATACTGATGATAAACGGCGTTGCTTGTTTGGAGTGTTTTTCAACCCCCAGGTACATAGCAGACTTTAACCCGCTAGACCACCGCCACGACGACGACCAGATCTCACTGGGGCTGACAGGCAGAAATACGACCCCAATCAAAGCTGGTGTACAATATTTAAATTTACACTGAGTTTTATTTTTCCTGGAATATATATTCGATTAGGGCTGTTTTCTAGGGTGGCTGAACAGCAGTCGCCAAATTGTGAATATGATCCATTCGATATCATATATCATGAGATAATGGAGCCGGTAGTAGAATGGAAGAAATGGAAGAAACTGGTTAACTTGGGGAAATTCCCGCACCACGCTAATGAAACACAAAGTTATGAACCAAACAGGGAGTTCACAGGGACAATGGAATCATCGAAACAAATAAACAGATAAGAGATTGACGGGTTTATCTCTAGGAAAACCTGTTTTCCGAAATATCAAATGAAAAACACGGTAGCTATTCTCTGACGGACAGTCACGTCAGGAATATTTAAACATTAAAATTGGGAGCAAAAATCAAAAACCTACCATGATCTATATCTCCAGACGTAGTAGATAGTGCAGCTAATTCCGTTCGTCGCTGTGTAGCTTTATGCGGAGCTCTCTTAGACGAAGATCTCATACTGGGAGACTGTGGATCCGATTGACCGACATTTGGGCTGGAATTGTGACTTTGTCCAACTGGTGGTGAGGCTAGTGTGTCTGTATCACTGACCATCGCCGAACTGGATGGACTCAGCGGCGCCGGATGAAGACTGGGTAAGGATTTTGAGGGGCGATTCTTGGCAGACGCCAAAATGTTGCCGGATCGAGTCTTCATAGTCATGTTATCAGAGGTTTCCACTATCATTGGCTCCAAAACGTTGACTTCAGCACATTCCGTAGGAATGGCCACCTGCGGATCCTGAAAACAATAGTAAATCGATTTGGTGCAAGGGGAAGCAGTGTTCATCGTATTTATTTTTCAGGAAACGGTAGCTAAAAGGGCGCTCCACCATTACTTGTTGGTAAATAACGATGGAGTGCTCATCATCATCATCATCAGCAGCAGCAGTAGCATCGTACAGCGAGATACAGTGAAGCGAGCTTCACTCATCGCTGTTAAGTTCACAATGGGCCTACTTGGAGGGAGGCAAAGATAAAGAACCTCCATATTCAACACACAGAGCACACAATCTAACTGCGCATACGTACCGTCTCAAGCATTCTGACTTGTTAAGAAATGACAACAAGAACGCCACTGCTGTCAGTTAGTCGCCATATCTTTTAAGGTCTCCAGTCAGCCAGTTGCAGTCTTTCAGACCCCAACCTGGAAGACGGGAGACACCGATTCTACCTAATCGACCTGTGCATTTCTTCATGCCTCGCTTCCACGTCATCTGTTGACCTCCACACGATTTCTTCCAACCCGGGGCCGCAACTGGGAATAAGGCGCGGTGCGGCAGACGATGGCTGGGCATGCGCAATACGTGTCCTAACCAGCGAAGCCGACTAATCTGAATTCCATGGGACAACGAATTCCCCATCGAATCATTACCAAATACGCGACGCCTCACCTCAGAGTTGCTTACAAGCTCGCTCCATCCAACCCGCGCCAAAGTATGTAAACATTCGCAGTCCAAAACTTCAAGAAGACGAATACCTTCCAAGCGCATATTTAGGGTTTCGCAACCATAGAGCAGAACTGACCGCACACTGGTGCGACCTTTCAGTTTCAACGAAACATGGCACCAAAGGTGTTTCAAACCTGCGTAAGCTGCTGGAGCCTTGGAAATTCGGGCGGTTACTTCATTGACTACGCT